CATTCTAGTGCTGAAGCATAATAACGCTCTATGGCATCCACTGCTGCAGAGTTGACATGGCTTTCTTTTATATTCGGGATATTGGATTGCCTCTTCCTCAAGCACCAAACCTTTTTTGTGACAATATTAGTACTCTCTACATGATTGTTAATCTTGTTTTTTATGCCCAAGCACATTGAGTTAGATTATCATTTTGTACGTGAAAAAGTGGTTATTTGATTACTTATCATTCGTTTTGTTTCCTCTCGTAATTAAGCAGCTGATATCTTCACCAACCCTTTGCCATGAGATGTTTTTTGAGATCTTTACTTCAAACTTGAGCTTCAAATGCCTCCCTAACCGAGTTTGAGGGGGAGTAATAAAAACAAAATTAAAAATAGTAAAATACATATTACAAGATAGGAAAGAGATGTTGTCATTACCTTTTGTCATTCACTATTGTATTAACATTATATATACAATGAAAAAACCAGCACAAGAGTTGTGTGGGGCACAATTATTTTCCCAAAGACTTCCTCACTCTTTCTAAAATTTCAACAATATTCTCTTAAAATTAGTATCAAATTATATGTCAAAAATATATATTGCCAAGCCCGCATTTCTATAATATGTGGGCTGGCCGCATAGAAACCGTGTTCTTCTTTGTGACATGAGAGATTGTGAAGACTTAAGCGGCCTTGTTCCTTTTCCTTGAATGTAGCTTTTTGCTCGCACTACTAAATTCTTCTAAGGGTGCAATTGGCATACGGATGCATCCGTAGTTGTAGAAGTAAGGTGCACGTTCAAATTTTAACATGGTATATAATTTTGATGTAAAATGTTCTTAAGATTATCTCCAAATGTATTTTTGTTTCTAATTATAAAATTTTAAATTTCAAAAATGGTTAAAATCAAGTAGATCTATAAACATATGAAAGTCTTGAAAATGGATGGTATAGATAATATGTTGTAACATGCACTATATCTGAGATTAAAATTCTTTATATTTTTCATGGTCATACATCTCGATGTCGAGAAGATCAATCAAAGGGTTTTTCAACATTAAAACTACCTTTTCCGATGAATTTTTGAGGTGCATCCATAGGTCTACGTTATAAGGTTGCATCTTTATATAAACTTTTTCCTTCTAAATAAAGGGTTGCTCTTACGTGTTAACGCCCGCTATAACCAAGATGGTAACTGTAGTATTTGAAAACAACGACATTTATTCCACCAAAAGGAAGTTTTCCCCAGAACGGGCTTTCTACTCGTAATGTCAGCCAGGCAAAATATGACAGGGTATAATTGACATTTATAACATTGGGATACATTTAGATTTGGAAATTGGTAAGTTTATGGATCGCAGGCATTTATATTGTTGTTGTCATGAGTAGTTCAAGATGCTTCTTGTTTTAGACTTTGTGCATTTGAAAATACGTAGGGAAGGTTCAAAATGATATAAATAGAAATAGTGAGAATAGATATGAGAATTTATGATCTTATTGAGGGTTCTTGATAGACCAGAATAGTGGAATATGATTCGTATAACGACCCCAAATAATTCAGATAAGACTCTGATGATGACGACGATGGTGACATTTGAAAATACTTTGGGCTTGTAAGTGACCAAGGACACAAAAATGAAAAGAAAATAAACACACCAGTGTGCATTGTGGGATTTATCAACACGCTATACCGCAGTGCTTTTGTTAAGGATAGACAAATAACCGACGTCATATTGGTGACTCACCAAACAATATATTCAAGGAAGGTGGATGGGCTGCCGGGACTCATATAGTAGCTTATTTTGAGAAAGCTTGTGATAGACTCGAATAGAGCTATTTTATGAAATTTCTCTC